AATATGTGACGAAGGATCTATAAATTTTTTTCATATGATTTTTGTGCAAGCTCTTGACGATATTTGTTGAGATTTATGGAATTAAAAAGTGATTTCTAATTGCTCATATGCTGAAGGGAGATTCAGTAAACAATACAGGAAGAGATGACATAAGCATGCTTCTTATGCCATCTCTCCCTGCATGGTTTTCCGACTCTCCCCTCTAGCATCTGGGCAATCTGAGACCACTTTTTTGTTCCATGTATCTCAACAAACATCTTTAATAACCTGCACAAAAATCAGAAGAAAAGATATACAGATCTTTTGTCACATATCACCTCCCAAATTTCGAAAAAAAAATGCTCAGAAACCCTAACAAGCAAATTAAGCTCACAGATAACAAAAGGAGAATATTCAAAACCAGAAGAAGAAGAAGAAGCAAGAAAAAAGAGGAATTTTTTGCAAGTCTTAACCTGTCTCTACTGGTCTTTGACGACCAAGGGTTCCTTGTCAACCTTGACATCCTCTCTCTCCCTTCTTCTTCCCCCTTCTTCTTCTCCGTGGTTTTAAGCAGTTTTGGAATTGCTGTGGCTCTTGAGCTGAGGGTCTCCATTCGATGATTGGGTTGGGATATTAAAATGTCTGCTGTTTGCTACTTTTTGTATGAAACCGAAGACTCTAATTCTCAGTGCTGATGAAACTACATGTATCCGTTATTCAAATTTTATTGATGGTTTTGGCTAATGTTCAGTTCAATGGGTAGAGATGTGAGTCACCATCACTGTCACCGTGATAAATGTGAATGTTAGTAGAGTGTTGTGACTGTTGAGACTGATTTTAGGGGAAGGGTCGTCTGCCTCCATTGTGGTCTTTATCCGGTGCTGCATTCATCCCAACCATCAATCCTTATTGAGATACAATGGAGGCACAGAGTGGGTTAAAGGGTCTTTCTCCGTTTTCAAATCTATGGCTTACTATAAGTAAAGCCTCGGGAGGGTTATCGTTTGCGGCCTTTTGATGTAGTGAACCTAGTGGCCCTAGTTGATCTAGGAAAAATGCATTGGGAGTCCATTTTTTATTTTCCATCTTAATCGATCTTTGCTGAGTATCTACATGATTTCTGAACGAAAACGTTTAATTCGTTACGAAATATTTAGTGCTTTGTCGTTAGCTATAATGTTTTGGTATTAGGCTTTGCTCCTCATTTTTTGCAATATGAACTGCAAAAGGACAGAAACTCTATTGAGAAGTTTATCCCGAGCCCTTTGTCGAGCCCAAATATGCCATGGCACTTTGCATGAGTTTCATTGTTGCGGTGTAGAAAGTTTTTGGCTGTTGAAACTTAGAAGAATCATGTCAAACTTCTTTGTAGTATTAGAAGTCACATCGTACGACCAAGAAAGAACATTTGGTTATATATAAAATGATATCGGTAGCCCATAAATTTTAGTCCCAATGTGCAATGTCATTTTTAAACTTTTTGACTTATTCAATTTGGTTCGTGAATTATTCTTTGATGTTCCATTTATCCCTTCAATTTGATCAAACATAAGAGGGAGAGTCTATCACATGTGTCTGTTTTCTCTCTATTTTTGCATAAAAGAGTTAACATTTATGAAACATTAGCTTTTGAAGACGTCCCCAATTTCGGAAAGAAATCCAGAATTCAATCCTCCTCTTTGGTTCTTTCCATATTGCAATATTTCTGTACTTCCTCAAATCTAATTACTCTTAAACACATTCCTCAAACCTATCCAATAACCCTCCACTTTCTTATTTAGGCCCCCGTTTGTTTTGCAGAAAATGAATAATTTGGAAACTATTTTCCTAAAATTGATCATTTATATTGCTTACAAAAATGAACAAATGAAACAAATCACAATATTTATGTACTTCCTCAATGCTAATTAGTCCTAAACACTGTCCCATTCATTCAAACCTATCCACTAACTCTCCACTTTCTCATTTGGGCTCCGTTTGTTTCGTGGAATGAATAATGGAAAATATTTTCGTAAATTATATTTTTATATTGCTTACAAAAATGAATGAATGAAAAAAATTTCATCAATCACCAAAATGCTTAGACATAAATTGTTGTCGATAGGAAAAACAATTTCATTGGCTAATTATTCAAGTGATACAAACGATTATTTTTAGGAAAACATTTTTCGAATAATTCATTTTCTGCGAAACAAACGGAGCCTTAAACGAAACTCTCGATCTTCTCCTTTTTTCTTTATGATCAAAACTTCTGGTGAAGTATCCTTTTTTAAATCAATGATCGGACAATGCAACTAAGACCATGTCTTTTTGTCCTAGTCCATCTCTCTGTCTTTGAAATGAATTTGATTGATATGCATTTGAAAGCTGCAAAAAACGTGAAAAATGTATGAATTATCCAAAAACTCTCTCGCTCTCATCTCATTAGCGCTAATGGTGGTAGAGATGGTCAATGTAAGTTCAAATAATTGCAGGTATAATGGTGGTAGAGATGGTCAATGTGAGTTCAAATAATTGCAGGTATAATGGTGGTAGAGTCTAATGCAGGGAGCAAATTATGGGCAAGAAAAAACATATTTTTAAAGGGGAAAAGGGGGGGAAATATCTTGATATCATGCTTCAAATGGATATATCATCTCTCTCTGCGTGGTTTTCCAACTCTTCCGTCTAGCATCTGAGCAAATGAAGTACTTCACTAGAAATTTTACTGGATGCGCGATGTTCTTTTTAAGCGGTTTTGGAACTGGTATGGCTTTTGAGCTCTGAGGGTCTCCATTCGATGATTAGGTTAGGATATTAAAATGTTTGTGCTTTTCGCTTGCTACTTTTTGTATGTAACCGAAGACTCTAATTCTCTCTGTTGTTGAAACTACATGTTGTATCCGCTATTGAAATTTTATTGATGGTTTTGGCTGATGTTCAGTTCAATGGCCGCCGATTGGGTAGAGATGTGAATCACCATCACTGTCACCGTGACAAATGTGGATGTTAGACTGTTGGAACGGTTGAGACTGATTTTAGGGGAAGGGTCCTCTGCCTCCATTGTGGTCTTTATCCGGTGCTATATTCATCCCAACCATCAATCCTTATCGAGATACAACGGAGGCACCGAGCGGGGTTAGAGGGTCCTCCTCCGTTTTCAAATCTATGGCTTACTATAACTAAAGCATCAGGAGGGTTATTGTTCGTGGCCTTTCGATGTAGTCCTGGTTGCCCGAGTTGATCTAGGAAAAATGCATTGGGAGTCTCCATTTTTTATTTTCCGTGTGAATCGATCTTTGATGGTAACTACATGATTTATGAATGAGAACATTTAATTCGTTACGAAATATTTAGTGCTTTGGCGTCAGCTATGACGTCATGGCATCAAGCTTTGCTCCTTATTTTTTGCAACATGAATCGCAAAAGGACAAAAACTCTGTTGAGAAGTTTTTCCCGATTTTAGCCCTTTGTCAAGAGCCAAAGATGCCACGAAAATGTTTAGATATAAATTGTTACCTAAAATGAATGAATGAAAGTTTTTGGCTGTTAAAACTTGAAAGAATCATATCAAACTTCTTTGCGGTATTAGAAGTAACATCGTGTGGCCAAGAAAAGAATATTTATCATATATAAAATGATATTGGTAGCCCATAAATTTCGGTCTCGATGTGCAATGTCATTCTTAAACTTTTGATTTGTTAAATTTGGTACTTGAACTATTCCTTGATGTTCAATGTATTCCTTTTATTTAATTTAACATAATCATCCCATGTGTCTCTTTTCTCTTTATTTTTTGCGCAAAAGAGTTAAACATTAATGACACATCAGCTCTTGAAGAGGTCCCTAATTTAGGAAAGATACTCAGCATTCAATCCTTCTGTTTGGTTCTTTTCATATTGCAATATTTATGTACTTCCTCAATGCTAATTAGTCTTAAACACTTTCCCGTTCCGTCAAACCTATCCAATAACCCTCTACTTTCTCATTTAGGCTTTGTTTGTTTCGCGAAAAATGAATAATTAGAAAAATTTACCTAAAATTTATTATTTATATTGCTTACAAAAATGAATGAATGAAACAAATTTTCATCATCCACGAAAATGTTTAGATATAAATTGTTATCGATATTGAAAACAATTTCAAAGGTTAATTATTTCAAGCCATGCAAACTACTATTTTTAGGAAAATATTTTCAGACTCATTCATTTTCTACGAAACAAACGGAGCCTTAAACGAAACTCTCAATCCTCTCCTCTGTTCTCTAGTATAAAAACTTCTTGCAAAATAGACGTTCCTTTTTTTAAATCAATGATCTGACAATGCAACTAAGATCATGTCTTTTTTGTCTTGGTCCATCAGTCTGTCTTTCAAATGAACTTGATTAGTATGCATTTGAAAGAGGCAAAAAACGTAAAATTGTATGAACTATTAAAAATCTCTCCATCTCGCGTTCATCTCATTATCACTTTCTCAAGCATTATACATTGATTCTATAAGGAATTTCGATTAATTATTTTGGACTAACTACTTCACATAATGATTTTTCTTCATGAGCTGTCGCCCAGTGGCCGGTAGGGGTGCCGGGCCTTGGCCTGCCAACAACCCTTGCCGGCCCTTAACAATAAAAAAAAAGATGTAAAGAAGAAAAATGAAAAAGAAAGAAAAGAAAAGAAAGGAAAAAATAAAATAAAATTCAAAAAATATTTTAAAATATTATTAAAATTATCCACATCAGCGCCGGCCGTGCCAAGTAGGATGGTCAGAGCCCATGTCAGCAATTTCTAAGCCAAAATTTGCAAGATGGATTCAATTGACAAAACGTAAAATGTTTATAACTCAATTGGCACAATTAAAAAGGATTTAGAACTGAATTGGAAAAATGGCAATAGGTTTAAAACTATTTAGACAATTTTGTCTCAGAAATTGGATCTACCAACATTACGCAAATTACCATCCTTGTACTTCATGCTCTTTCAAGTAATTATCCGTGTCGATTTGCGATAAGCGAATCAAGATCTTTGCTGTGGAAGAGATGGTGGTAGAGATGGAGGCCGAGGTGGATGTGGCGATTCTGGTTATGGTGGAAGAGATGGTGGAAGGGGAGTTTGGTCGTTTTCTGCTTCTGCTTCCAGCAGGCCAGACAAAGGTGGTGGTCGTGGCTATGGTTTCGAGTCACGTTATAGGTAATGTTGGCAGCAACTCTGTATGTTGGAAGTTTTTTTCTACATGATAAACTGCATTGGAAGATGATTGATGCTTAAGAGGTCTTCTCCTATATTGATACAGGTTTGGCAGTGGCCAAGATGGATATGAGAGAGCTAGAAGTCGCAGTCCCAAGGGATCGGGTGCCCGGGTTGATCGTGCTAGTAACTGGAGTCGTGACCGCAGCCGTAGCCCTCATAAATCTGAACATGACAGGACTCGTTCCCCAGTTCGCAGCTTCCACCAAGCAATGATGGAGAGAAGCCAATCTCATCGCCCAGGTGCATCTTCCTTCCACAGTGAGAAAACAAGAGAGAATTCACGGAGTCTGCGACGTGCAAGATCTCCTTCGCCCCGTGGGAAGGATAACGACGGAGGAATTTTGGGGGATCGCGTGGTGATGCTACATCGAAATGGGATGGAGGATGTGGTGGTGGGTCCCGCTCTTCTTACCTTGGGGAAGAAGAGGAAGGCATGATTCCTGTTTGACGGAGGCTGATAAGTGGACGATGGCAAATGAAGTACTTACGCTAGAAATTATACTAGATGCGATGTTCTTTTTAAGCGGTTTTGAGGTTTTGGAACGGCTGTGGCTTGAGCTTAGGTCTCCATTCGGTCATTGGGTGGGAATATTAAAATGTTGGAAAATACCACTAAAAACCTCAAACTATGTCATTTATGATAAATTTACCATGAACTTTTTTTGTGACACGAAAAATCCCAAACTATGTTACTTGTGACAAATTTACCCTGAACTTTTTTTTGTGACACGAAAAACCCTAAATTATGCCGCTTGTGACACATTTAGCTCGCAATACTTTGGCCCATGGGCATTTTCGTCTTTTTCCTTTTTCTATTTTTTTTCTTTTCGTCTCTCTTCCGGCAAGGCAGCCCTCGCTGGCGTTGGGCGAGGGTGGCCCTCTCCGGATCTGGCGAGGGCAGCCCTCGCCCGACTCAAGCAAGGGCGACCCTCATCGGCCCAGGCGAGGCCTACCCTCGCCTGCCCAGGCGAAGGCGACCCTTGCCCAATGCCGGCGAGGGTCGCCCTAGCCCGCCCAGGCGAGGGCAGCCCTCACCCGACTTGGGCTGTAACAGCCCGAATTTCGATGTAATTCCGGGATCAATAAAATTGACAATATTTCGCATTTCATTTTTGTAAGTCTCGCCCGGAGCTGATCACTCTTGGGATACTAACCAATGGGGTATGGCTAACTAGGAAACGGTACGTGGACCAGGGACTCGATAGTGAATGGGACACCGATCTCGAGATATGATGAGGGAATATTTTGGGCCAACGTGGGCCGATCTTAAGAAAGGTGATGGATTTGGTTTGGCCAAGGCCAACGATGTACAATCGGATCGCAGGTGATTCTGCAAGACCGAAAGTGCACGTGACCAACCAGTCCTGAACCTGAACCGAACGATCGCGACCTCTGGAACTAGTGATGATTTCTCATTCTCTCAATGATCGGGACCGTCGTAAGTCAAATAACCCTAGGTCGATACGCGTAGATCCTAAACAGCCGCCCGTTAGTGAGAGACCCTGAAATTGAAAGTTTAGCGAGTTTTGTTCACGGAATTGGGCCCTGATTTCGATGCCGATTTTCGAAGGCTTAAGAGACTATTTTTGGGAATCTGACGTCGTATTACGCTGGCCACACACGTTTGGAGTTAGTACGAGTAAAAATTAGAATTTCGGTCCGAGGGTGAAAAATTACGATTTTGCCCCTCGGGACGCCAGCGTTGCTTTTCGAGGACAAATGAGGTTATTTTTCGAGGCCGACGCCATTGTTGGGTGGCCACGCATACCAGGAGTAGTTATGGCCAAAAATTGGAATTTCAACAAAAATTGGAAAATAATATTATTTTATTCCCGAAACTTCGCAGTCGATTTTCGAGGGCTTAGAAAGTGAATTTCGCGAATCCGACGCCATATTATATTGGCCACGCACATATGGAACACATATGTACGAAAATTGGAATTTCGCCCCGGGATCGGAAAAATGACGATTTTGCCCCTTAGCTATTTTCGGGTCCGAATTTTTGGGAAAGTATTTGGGACAGTTAAAGATAATTATCAGCTGCATTATTGGCCCCATTTACCCTTTTGCCCCTCAATTATTTGGATAGGATTGTTTAGAAACCGTTAGATTATGGGTATTTTCGTCAAAACCGCCGGATTTGCGACACGTGTCGCCCTAGGCTGCTTTTTTTTACCAGGTCTGACCTTTATTGTAACAGTCTGAATTTTCGATCCTTTTCCCGGGATCTATGAAATGAATATTTTGGCCAATGCACTTGTAGTGAAATCTCACCCGGAAATGCGCATTCACGGGATGCTAACCTTAGGGGTATGGCTATTACGGGATTGAGTTCGCACGACCAAAGAACTCGACCTGGGTTCGATTTTCGACCATATGGATTGACGAGGGAATGTTTTGAGCCAACCGAGACCGGTCTATTTGATTGATCGTGTCCGAAGGGAACTAGCGAACAGACTCTCGCAATTATATGACAATCGAGGTCGCCTTGGCTCGAGCAAACTTAAACGTGATTTGACTTAGTATCGGTCACGGGTCAAGAGCGCGTAATCCCAATGAGCCACCCGTTAGCCTGAAATAAACTAAAGTCGCGATTATTCGATCTTAGTCATTTCTTGGAATTCGGGCCCGGGAATCGAGAATTTTGAAAGTGACAAGTTTGGATGGCCGATGACATTTTTGGCTTGGCCAACCTTGGGGCCAACCATTTCTGCAAAAAAATGGATTTCGGTTCGGGACCGGGAAAATTACGATTTTGCCCCTGTGGACACCGATGTTGGATTTTGAGGTCGTTTGAGGTTATTTTTCGAGGCTAGCGTCATTTTGGGGTGGCCACGCGCATTTGGAGTAGTTACGGCCAAAAATTGGAATTTTGGCTCGGAAGCGAAAAATAATATTATTTTATTCCCAGGACTTTGCAGTCAATTTTCGAGGGCTTGCGCGATGAATTTCGCGATTCCGACGCCATATTATGTTGGCCACGCACATATGGAACACGTATGTGCAAAAATTGAAATTTCGCCCCGGGACCGGAAAAATGACGACTTTGCCCCGGGCCCGTTTCAATTCCGAATTTTGGGAAATTATTTGGGATTATTATTATTGGTTTTTTCAGCTACATTATTGGGCCTTGGACAATTTTGCCCCTCAGTTATTGGATTGGGTTAAACCTAGACCGTCGGATCAAGGGCAAAATGGTCAAAGTGCGTAGGATCGCGACACGTGGCACTTGGGGCTGTCACATTTGACCAGCTGACTCTCTCTCTCTCTCTCTCTCTCTCTCCTCCCAGCCCCATTCGGCCAGACCACCCACAGCAGCCCCTTCTCCACGTTTTCCTCCTCCTCCTTTCTTTCTTCATTCTCTTCCTTAGCCATTTCCTCCCATTGTTGCTGCTGCTGCTGTTCCGCCCGTTTTAGCCACCCATTCAGCCCGTTCGTCTCGTCTTTCTTAGGTAAGTGACCTCCCCAAATGTCGCCCAGGACCTCGGGTATTGTTAGGCTTGTTTAGGGCTCGGTTTAGGGTGAATTTAGTGGCTGGTTTGCTCGGTGGTGTGTGTTGGCTGATTTCCAGTTAGGTTGCTGCTGCGTCGCTAGTTTTTGTTATTTTTACTGTGACTTATGCGGCCCGAATTTGAGGAAATGTTCTTCATAAAAGTTGTTCCCAACATGTTTAAGTATAACATATTTTAATTTGGGAATTTTTGGAAATCATTTGAGGCCATTCGGAAGCCCATCTTTGGACCGAAATAAAACTGCCCGATTTACTGTTCACCCGACCTTCTGGTCTGTTCGAATTTTTATAAATTTTTCCAGGCCTATTTGCAAAATACTTCCTTCACAAAAGTTGTTGGGGACATTTGTGGTTATAACATATAAAAATTTCAAAGCTTTTCAAGGTGATCTGGATGTTGAAATAAATGTATTTTGAGGACAAAACGGTCTGTTTGAGCGAACTGATTTTGGTCTGACTTCGAGAGACAAAAAGGCATGGTTACAGATTGAATCGGATTTTTTGTTCTTCATAATAAATGTTGATCAAGATGTTTTTTATGACATATCCAAAATTTAGAATTTTTGGAGTTCGTTTACTATTTATTTTGATGGGATTTCGGTCACTGTTTAGGGTTCAGTTTAGGGATTTTGTGACTGTTTTAAGGGCTGTTTGGGGCTGAATTGAGAGACTGGTTATTTGGTGGTTGTGGACTGATTTGGCGACGAAGATTTGAGGTATAGAAAGCTCGGGTAGGACCGTGATGTTGTGACTGGATTGGGGTTGAATTGTGCAATCGATCAGTGGGAATTATGCTATGAATTGAATTGTGTACGTGGTTGTGTGATTTGTGATCGTGGGCTGATTTGGATTGTGCTTGGGCCGAATGTGATGTGGTACCGTGCCGTGTGTATGTGGCCGTGAGGTGTAGGGGCGTGGTCGTGTGAATACGCATTGAATTCGCGTGCCAAGAGTGTGTGATTGGGTGGCGTGTTCGTGTGACGAGAATGTGAAATTGTGAAATGTGTGTGTGAGGTGTGTATGTTTGGCCGTGCGTTTGTTGGCCGTGTGTAAGTGTGGTTTGAGTGGAACGAGGATACGGAAATGTGGGATTGGTTGGAAAGGATCTGTCCTGAGGCGTGTACGTTTACGCGGGACGATGACGTCCCTGACGAGGTGACGATGCCAGGCCTGACGAGGTGTCGATACCTGACGTGGTCAGAAGACCATTGGCCTGATGCGTTTTACGCGGGCACGGTAGAAGGAAAGTGCGTGTAGGATTCCGTCCTGAGGCGTGTTCGTTTACGCGGGACGATGCCGTCCCTGACGAGGTGACAATGCCCGGCCCGACGGGGTGACGATGCCTGACGAGGTCAGAAGACCGTTGGCCTGATGCGTTTTACGCGGGCGCGGTAGGGGTGGAAAGGCTGAGAATGAGCAAGAATTGGCGGGACGAGTGAAATTAAGAAAGTGGCGTGTGGTGTGAGTTGGTGTGCGAGTGTGTTTGTATCGCGTGGTGTGATGCTCGATTATGGGATAAAAACTGCTAGGCATGGTATGGGACGTGCCCAAGTGGGTTTTGCTCTATAATCGGGGCACGCGCGAGGTGGTGATGTATTTCTGTGGCATACTGGCTGTGTGGTTGACTAACGTGCAGGGACGTGCGTGAGGAATTCCAGGTAGGGTCGCATGTGATTGTTAGTTTGGCTAATCATTGTGTGTTATGTGTGTTTTCGTCTGGCGGTACGTGAGTGCCTACGTGGGGTTTGGGGTTGTACACTTATTGAGATTCGTCTCACGGTTGCATAACCGCCACTTTCAGACCCCCAGCCTTAGACCCGGGAAGTTTGCCTCCTCTTTTTGGAAGTTCGAGGAACCGCCTTTGGTGCCTGGTGGAATTGCAGGTGAATGTCCGGAGGCTCAAACCCGAAGAATCAGAAGCAGAGCGGAAGGGCGACCAGTAGGCTTTCCCTAGGATATTTTAGGGGTTGTGTAAATCGGGTTGACCCATAGGGAAGTTAAGTTAACCAGACCTTGATCTTTTGTTAAAACGGTGGCGGAGTATGTTCGTGCCTCGTATTTATGTCTGTAATATGATGTTTGTATGTTTGGTGCTGTATGAAGATGTTGTTGTTTAATTGTTGTGGTGTTCTACCCCGTTGTCGTCATCTTTTTGTCTGGGGTTTTTATATCTGCTTCCGCATGTGGCTCTGATGTTTGGATTGGGTCGGCGACATTCCTGGGACGTCGCATCATTTCGACTGGAGCAGGGGATGTCGCGAGCTCGTAGGGGTTCGGGGCGTGACATTTATCTCTCTCTTCACTCACCCTCACGCCAGAACTCCCCGAGAACAGCAGCCCCTTCAGTTTTCTCCCCAATTTTTCTCTCTTTTCCTCTCTTGTTTGGCTCGCCGGAGCTCGTCGCCGGCCACCGGAGCGCCGCCGCTGGCCACCGTGCCTCCCCATCGACCACCACAGCCCCCAGCCTCAATCTTGCCCCCGTCCGACCCCTTTCTCTCTCCCTTTCTCTCTCTTTCTCCCCTCTTTTTCTCTTTCCCGTCCGAGCAAAAGGGCCGCGGAGCTTCGCCGGGCTCGACCGTCTGCTCCGTCACCACCCGGCCGTCGTGCCTCGCCGTACAACGTCGGGGGGGGCACCTGTCCGTACAGTGTCCGTATAGAAGTACTGTAGCAGTCTGTACAGAAGTACTGTTCATCCCGTCCGTACGGGGTCACTGTTCACGCCGTCGCCGGGAATTCCGCCGCCGGTTTCACTGTTCATCAGTGATCGGCCGCCGTTCCCCTTCGTCGTGACCTCGGATTAAGTGAGTAAAATTCCTAAACCCGGATTAGGACTGATAGTGCGTTTTTCTGGACTGGTTTAGGTATTATCGGTGCATTTTTGGACTGGCTTAGGTAATATCAGTGTATATTTCAGACTGGGATGAGGACTGATTGGTGGAAATTATTATTGGGAAAATTTAGTGGATTAATGAGAATTATTTGGGGAGATTAATTGGATTAAAAGACCAATTTAGGAGCCCATTGGAAAACTACCGGGTATGTCCGGGTTGACTGGTTGTACGTAATTTGTACTTAATTGTGATTGACTTCGTACTGCCATGTCACATGTCGTGTGGTTGAATTATGTGGAGTGCGATTGGCCAATGATTGGTTTGAAATTAATTGTTGATTTATGATTCGCACGTTAGGCCACACGGTATTAATTGGGTCAATTGAGCACGTGTTGTGATATTGAGTATTTGAATTATATTGGCGCTCGTGGTGCATTGCATTGCATAACATGGACACGCATTGTGTATGCCAAGAGTGAGGCATGTGATGAAATTGTGCGAGAATGCGTGCCTGCCATGAGTATGTGATCACCTAAAATACCCCGAAGCGTCATACGCTGGGTTCAGATAATAATGAGTTGTGTGATCACCTAAGGACCTTCGGGTCATGACCTTCGGGTCGATACCATCCTCATGCACTTTAAAGCAGGACGATGCCCGGTACGTTCGGAAGACGACCATCCTCATGCACTTTGAAGTAGGCTCTGGTTCGTAAGGAGATCAGTGTTGCGCCTCGTGCACTTTGAAGCAGGCTAGAGACACTGGGCCAGATCGGTTGCTGCGCCTCATGCACTTTGAAGCAGGCTAGACGCACCGGGCCGTGAATGTTGTTGACTCGAGTTGTCGTAATAATTAATAAATTGGGCGATTGCCAGTGTGGGCCAGTGGGCCGGGAAATGCACGTGACATATCGACGACACTTACATGCATGAACATGCGTGGACTGGCATGCGAGTGTGTGAGACTCGGTGCATGAGCATGTGATTGGCGTACGTGTGACTAGGTGTGCCACGTATGTGCCGTGATTATTATATATTGAACTGTCTAACCTGCAGGGTCAGAGAACTATTTGATTATTGTTGTGTTATTGTTTTAAGTATTTGTTTCCGGTCAGAAGATTGCATGCTAGCCTAGCCTAGGTTTGGGGGTTGAACTTACTAAGATTCGTCTCACGGTTGTGTAAACCGAAACTTTTCGAGACCCCCAAAATAGGATGCCGAGGTCACCACCTCTTTTTGGAATACCACATTTTATCCAATGGTCGCCGAGCATGCCACCGGGGGACGGAGCGAACGGAGAAGTGGCTATTTGGTTATTCCTAACTGTTGGTGTTTCCTTTTTTGTTGTAGCGATTATTGTAAAAAGGTTTTCTATAGTAATATAAAGTGTACATATTTTTAGTAGCGATTGATTGTTGTCGTGCTATCCATTGTTTTATTATTACTATTGTCAGGGTTTGTTTATTTCTTCCGCTTGTGCTTGTTCTCTGTTGGGCGTTGGGTCGGTGACGTTTCCTGGGACGTCGCACCATAATCGACCGGAGGTGGGATGTTGCGTTCCAGTGGTGTACGGGGCGTGACATGGGCGAGGGCGACCCTCGCCCGACACCGACGAGGGTCGTCCTCGCCAGATGTCGGCGAGGGCAGCCCTCGCCAGATCCAGCGAGGGCAGCCCTCACCCAGCGCCGGCGAGGGCCGCCTTCGCCGGCTTCCCTCCGCCATTTTCTTTTCTTCTCTCTTCCCTCCGCCATGGCCGGCGGAGGGAAGAGAGAAGAAAAGAAAAAAGAAAAAAAAAACAGAAAAAGGAAACAGACGAAAATGTCCATGGGCCAAAGTATTGTGGGGTAAATATGTCACAAGTGGCATAGTTTGAGATTTTTTGTGTTACAAAAAAAGTTCAGGGTAAATTTATCATAGTGGCATAGTTTAGAATTTTTCGTGTCACAAAAAAAAATTTAGGATAAATTTGTCACAAGTGACATAATTTGGGATTTTTGGTAGTATTTTCCCACTCTTCTTACCTTGGGGAAGAAGAGGAAGGCATGATTCCTGTTTGACGGAGGCTGATAAGTGGACGACGGCAAATGAACGACGGCAAATGAAGTACTTACGCTAGAAATTATACTAGATGCGATGTTCTTTTTAAGCGGTTTTGAGGTTTTGGAACGGCTGTGGCTTGAGCTGAGGTCTCCATTCGATCATTGGGTGGGAATATTAAAATGTTTGTGATTGCCGTTTGCTACTTTTTGTACGAAACCGATGACTCTAATTCTCAGTGTTGCAGAAACTACATGTGGCATCAGTTATTGAAATTTTATTAAAGGGATTTTTTGCCTCTCCATTGCGGTCTTTTTTCTGGTGCTACGTTCATCCCAAATATCAGTTCTTATTTAGATAAAATGGAGGCACCGAGCGGGGTAGAGGGTCTTTCTCCGCTTTTCAATTTATGAATTACGATAACTAAAGCCTCCGAAAAGTTATCTCGTTCTCGACCTTTTTATTTAGCAAACTTGGCAGCCCTATCTGATTTAGAAAAATAAAGTATTGAGGGTCCTTCAATTTTTCTTTTCCATATGAATTAATATTTGCCAAGTATTCACGTGATTTCTGAACCATAACGTTTAATCAGTTACGAAATATTTAGTGTTTTGTCGTTTGCTATGATGTCATGGCATCGGGCTTTGTTCCTTATTTTTTGCAACATGAACCGCAAAGGGACAGGAACTTTGTTGAGGAGTTTATCCCGATTTTAGCCCTCTGTCGAACGCCAAATATGCCATGGCACTTTGCATGAGTTTCATCGTTGCGGTGCAAAAAAGTTTTTGGCCATTGAAACTTGGAAGAATCATGGCAAACTTCTTTGCGGTATTAAAAGTCGCATCGTACGACCAAGAAAAGAAAAGAACATTTGTCATAGATAAAATGATATTGGTAACCCATAAATTTCGATAAAAATGTGCAATGTCATTTTTACAATTTTGACTTGTTTAATTTGGTAGTTGAACTATTCTTCTGTATTCCTTGAATTTGATCAAACATGAGAGGGGGAAGTCATCCCATGTGTCTCTTTTCTCTCGATTTTTGCATAAAAGAGTTAAACATTAATGGCACGTTAGCTTTTGAAGAGGCCCCTAATTTCGGAAAGAAATCCCGCGTTCAATCCTCCTATTTGGTTCTTTTCATATTGCAATATTTATGTACTTCCTAGATGTTAATTAGTCTTACACACTTTCCCGTTCTATCAAACCTATTCAGTAATCATTCACTTTCTCATTTAAGCTCCGTTTGTTTCACAAAAAAATGAATAATGGAAAGTATTTTTCAAAAATTGATCATTTATATTGCTTACAAAAATGAATGAATGAAAAAAATTTCACCATTTATGAAAATGCTTAGAAATAAATTGTTGTCGATAATGAAAACAATTTCAATGACTAATTATTTCAAGCGACAAAAACGATTTCTTTTAAGAAAATATTTTCCGAATCATTTATTTTCTACGAAACAAACGGAGCCTTAAACAAAATTATCGACCCTCTCTTTTGTTCTCTATGATCAAAACTTCATGCAAAATATCCTTTTTGAAATCAATGATCTGACAATGCAACTAAGACCGTGTCTTTTTGTCTTGGTCCATTGGTTTGTATTTGAAATGAACTTGAATAATATGTATTTGAAAGCTGCAAAAAACATGAAAAATGTATGAGCTATCAAAAATTTCTCCATCTTACATTCATCTCATTAGCACTTTCTTAGGCATTATACATTGATTCTATAAGGAATTTCGATTAATTTTTTTGAACTAACTACTTCGCATATTGATTTTTCTTGGTGAACTGCGGCCATTTATGTAGTATGTAAGAAAGCAATTGCCAAAGGAGTGATCTTAGAGTTTTGCTGCTCTTTTTCTGTTGTTTTGCTTAGTTGGAAATCGCAGAGCTCTTTCGTCTCCCTCCATAAACTTCGTACATATTACTCATCTCCCCCCGCCATCTCTCTTCACCATTTCTTCGTTTAAGTCGTAACTCATTTACATTTCAAAAGTTATCTTTCATCCTCACTTTAATATGTATATAAAAATTACATAAAATACTGACGACGGCATCCTATTTATTTAATTAATTCGTTTAAGTTGTTCTAAATTCTTATTAGTAAGTCCTCGTCATAACTCTCTAATCAAAATAATATGTTAATATCAAGTTGTTGTCTGTATATTGAAATGTATCGATATATTGAAAAGCCACCTCCAACGAAATTATCACCGGCCACCGTGCTAAGAGACCGCTCTCGCCGCTCTCCACTTTCCTCTCCCTCAATCCTAGCTTGTGCCTCTCATTTTGGACGGGGTGGCACCTTTTTATGAGAAATGATATGGTGCATAGATCCATTGGTCTAATCTTCGAGGGTATAAACCCATCAAACTGCTCTTGAGCTAGTCGATCTCGCCTTGCACATCTCGATATTTTTCGAGTTCGAATATGTCCGAGTATTGAATCGAGCCAAGCTCAAACTTTGAATACACAACTTGAGTTGGTCACGAGACCAATCAAACAGTTGATTTTCAATTGCAGTGCATTTTCAGACTATGAGTTAGAGTTTAGTTCAAATTTCATGCAAATTTTATTGACAAGTCCAGTCAGCTTCGACTTTGTTGAAAAGTTATCTAAGTTGAGCTCGAGTTTAGAAAATCTTGCTCTCAATAGAGCTTCATAGTAGCATCAGGTTTTGAATATTTTAATCGAATCGAGTTTTGAGTACTGAGGTGCGTACTAACGTCAACTGAACTTTGTTTTAATTACGCCCATGAATCAAAGTGTACAAACCATACAGGAACCTGCGCTTTTCTAGCAAGATCCGATCTTTGACATAAGTTAGGGAAACCAGCCCCACCACCTCAGGGTAGTCGCGGGCCACTTAGTGATCGACACGTGGTGCCACTTCAACGGATGGGTCCCACCGGACATATCCGAAATCCAAGATTGGCCCAGGCCCAATATCCAATCTTTGGCTCTCGATCCTGACCGTCGGTTCCTACTGCACCATGGGAAATCAACGTGGACACCATCGCACCATCTTGGCCCCACCATCTTTTCCCTTATTAAAAAGCCCCAACTCACACACAGAATTCACTCACTCCCAAAGCCGAAACCAGCATTCAACCACTCCCTCTGCCTCTCCCTCTCCCTCTGCATGGAGCTCAACCCTTCCTCCTCCGCCCCCTCCTTCACTTTCCGAGATGATTTCCCTTTCCTTCCGGGCATTTTCCAAGAAAATTCCCTCCCCAAACCACAGGGCGGCTTCTCTCTTGACCTCGAGACTCCTCCTCCACCTCCTCTTAACGTGAATGGCTTCTTCTACAAGCTCCTCCACAGCCGTAGCCCCGACATTCTCGACCATGACCATGGCTTCACCATCGAAGGCTCCTCCTCGAACCCTTTCTCTTCGGTGGTCTCGAACCCACAGCTCAACCCGTCATTTCATCACCGATCCCCAGATCCTCAACCGGCCGCGACGTTCCCCAGAGCGCTCAACCTTTGTGCCCAGCTGCCGCTGCCGACCCCTCCTCCTCCTCCGTGCGTCGACACCTCGCTGAAGAGTTGCGACGACAGCGACGGCGTAGTGGTGCATGGCCAGCTCGAGCTCAAGAGCCTCTTTGACTATGGTGCGGTTGATCACCGTCGTTATCACGATCCGGTGACGGTGGACCGCCAGATCATGCCTTTGCTCGACTTGAATGACCTTGGATCGCTGAATGAAAAACTCGGTGAAGAGTTCTCTTCGGGTGGCATGAGCTCGGACCGCCAATGGGGTCATGAGCGGGACGACGGTGGTGATGATCGCAGCAGGAGAGAGGTGGTGATAGGTCTGTCGCACCAGCAGCCGAAGCCGACAACCGGAAAAAAGAAGAGAGAGAATGAGAATGACGAGGCTGACAAGGAGCCCTTGGTCGTCAAAGGCCAATGGACTCCTGAAGAAGACAGACAGGTTAAGACATGACAAGCACCCTTTTTTGGCTTGTTTCTTCTCCTTCATCTAATTTTTTTTTTCTGGTTTTGAATGTTTGTCTTTTTTTTTTTTTTTTGATATCTGAGTTTTTAGCTTATTTTCCTCGTTAGGGTTTCTGGGCTTCTTTTTTTCCGAAATTTTGGGGGTGATATGTGATGAATAAAATTATTCACTGTCTGTATATCTTTTCTGCAATCGCTTGACGATGTTGATTAGGATGCATGCACTACAAAAAAACAAGGATTTAGCCACGGAAATTAGCGACGAATAATTTTTCATCGCTAATTAGCGACGGAATTTGCAATTATTCGTCGCAAATTTGCGACGAATTTTGCGACGGAAAAAAATCCATGGCTAATGTGCGACGAAATTAGCGACGAATTTTTTTTCCGTTGCTAATTTGCGACGAAAAAAAAAGTCGTCGCTAATTTGCGACGGAATTTGCCACGAAAAAAAATTCGTCGCAAATTTGCGACGAAATTATCGACAAATTTTTTTTCCGTTGCTAATTTGCGATGGAAAAAAATGTCGTCGCTAATTTGCGACGGAATTTGCCACGAAAAAAAATTCGTCGCTAATTTGCAACGGAATTTGCTACGAAAAAGTATTCGTTGCTAATTTGCGACGAAGTTAGTGACTTATTTTTTTTCGTCGCTAATTTTGCGACGTAATTTGCAACGAAAAATAAATTCGTCGCTAATATATGTATTGCGTGTCAAATATTTACTAATATATAAATGTAAATTGTTAATAGGATTTTTCAAACTTCAATGTATGAACTACCACCAAATGAGTTGGACCGTTTGTGCGATGAACAATTTGCAGCATGGTTCAAAACATATGTAAGTTGCCTATGGACTAAAATCAAGTTATTAATATTTTATACATCATTTAAATATATATTATTGACTTTGCGTGTGTGACCTTAGGTTCACAGTAATCATGATCAAGTTGAAGAGCAAAGATTGCTATATTATCTGTCATGAGGTCTAAAGTCAAGAGTACGAACTTGTACATATTTCATAAACGGGTATAATTTTCACACTCAAGAATATTGAATGGGAAAAGCCACAATGAATAGTGGTGTGTGTGTTTCGGTCATCCAATGGTTGCGGTTCAAAGATGATTTTTATGGCTTGTTGGATGAAATCATAGAGATAGAGTACCTGGACCATTAATGCGGGTTGTGTTATTTAAGTGCATGTGGTTCGACCCCGTCAAAGGAATGAAGGTGCATACGAAGTTTAATTTAGTTGAAATAAATTACAAGAAAAGGTATATGAAATATGAACCATTTGTGTTGGCACAACAAGCAATTCAAGTATATTATGCATCATATCCTAGTTTGAAACGTGACAAAACTGATTGATTGGCTGTATCTAAAATCAAAGCACGAAGAAAAATCGAGAAACATTGGAAGGATACAACATATCAACAAGAGGAAGTTTGTAACACGGTTCAAACTGAGGAATATGATGATGATGACGATGACGACGACGACGACGATGATGTTCAAGAAGAAGATCAAGATGAAGACGAAGGTGAAGATGACGATTTAGATTTTTGAGACTTTTTAGTAATTATGTCGTAATTATTAGTATTGTTGTTGTTGTTGTTGTTGTTGTTGTTGTTATTGTTATTATTATTATTGTTGTTGTTATTGTTGATTATTATTATTGCTATTATTGTTACTGACACGTTATTGTCGAGAAAAAAAATGAATTAGGCGTGTGTGGGCTAGTAGAAATGAAATTCATGGCAAATTTGCACGGATTTAACATTTGAAAAAAAATGAATTGCGGCATTTTTTATGAAATTCGTGGCTAAAATCCGTGGCAAATTTGCCATGGATTTTAGCCACGAATTTCATAAAAAAAATGAATTGTGGGCATTTTTATGAAATTCGTGGCTAAAATCCGTGGCAAATTTAGCCACGAATTTCATAAAAAATGGACGTAGGCATGTGTATGGCATTTTTTAAAAATTCGTGGCTAAAATCCGTGGCAAATTTGCCACGGATTTTAGCCACGAATTTCATAAAAAAAAATGAATTGTGGGCATTTTTATGAAATTCGTGGCTAAAATCCGTGGCAAATTTGCCACGGATTTTAGCCACGAATTTCATAAAAAAAATGAATTGTGGGCATTTTTATGAAATTCGTGGCTAAAATCCGTGGCAAATTTGCCACGGATTTTAGCCACGAATTTCATAAAAAAAAATGAATTGTGGGCATTTTTATGAAATTCGTGGCTAAAATCCGTGGCAAATTTGCCACGGATTTTAACGAATTTCGTAAAAAAAATGGACGTAGGCATGTGTATGGGCATTTTTCAAGAAATTCGTGGCTAAAATCCGTGGCAAATTTGCACGGATTTTAGCCACATATTTCATAAAATGAATTTTGGGCTTTTTATGAAATTCGTGGCTAAAATCCGTGGCAAATTTGCCACGGATTTTAGCCACGAATTTCATAAAAAAATGAATTTTGGGCTTTTTATGAAATTCGTGGCTAAAATCCGTGGCAAATTTGCCACGGATTTTAGCCACGAATTTCATAAAAAAAAATGAATTGTGGGCATTTTTGCCACGAATTTCATAAAAAAAATGAATTGTGGGCATTTTTATGAAATTCGTGGCTAAAATCCGTGGCAACCCACAATTCATTTTTTTATGTCCGTGGCTTTGTTTAGCGACGAACTCTTCTGTCCGTGGCAAAATTCCCTAATTTTGCTCCCCGCCCTCTCTCAAATTTGCCCGCCCTCACCCCAATTTTTCTCTCTCTCTCTGTTATTCCTCGGATCCCCCCCCTTCCGCCAAACACCTCTCCGTCGCTCCCTCCTCCCCTCCACCAGCCATGATGGCCACCCTCACAGCCACTGCCGCCGTCGCCTCCTCCTCCGTCGCCATCCGCCCGTTCCGCTCCCACAAGCCCTCCCGCGCGCCCGCCGGGATCAGGTGCTCCGTCGCCGAGGGCCCCGCGATCTCCCAGCCGAGGGCCGCCGGCGGGGGACTGGTTGATTGCGTGGTGGTCGGGGGCGGGATCAGCGGGCTTTGCATCGCCTAGACGCTCACCACGAAGCACCGCGACAGGGCCCCCGATGTGGTCGTCACCGAGGCCAGGGACCGCGTCGGCGGCAACATCACCACCGTCGAGAGGGACGGCTACCTGTGGGAGGAGGGCCTCAATAGTTTCCAGCCATTCCGAGATTGGTACGTTCCCATTCCGAGATTAATACGTTCCGTCGGTCCCATTCCGAGATTTGTACGTTCCGCCTACTCTGATTTTGTGACCTTCTTATTGAAGTTCTCGAGTATGTTCGTGTGTCAACTGATAGATATATCGTCGGATTATTGTAATGGTTGTCGTTGCTCTTGTTTCGTTAGAATTGGGTATAGTCTTGATCGAGAAGTGGAGATGATGTTTGTGAGTTTATAGGGTAAATGGGTCAGGATAGGGTGCTTTGCAAGTGTTTGATGAATGACCCAGTTCTCCAATTTGAGAATAGACGTGCAATTTTGGACCTTTTTTTATGCTGTTGTGAATAGCGGGGCGAGGCTCGAATCGGCGTGAGTTCTTTCTTGGGTGTTCTTCCTTTTTTTTTCTGGGGAAAAGGAAGAAAATGGAGAGGACAAAGCAATCGTTGGATAGATGCTCAAGAACACTCAGACTTCACTTGCAGAAGGTAGTGCTTCATGTGTTAATTTTTGTGAAGCTTTCGTTGGATAGATGCTTGCGACCTTTTTTAGCCAGGTTATGGCTGCTATTGGAGGAAATACTGCAGGTCCAGGTAGGAGGACTTTAATTTTAAGCCCTTGAGTTAATAACTATTTTAGTTCACATTTCTATTATGGTATTGATTTTCATCTTTTGTTTTTATGTGCACAGGGGATGCTGTTGTCAATGTTTACATAAACCATGAAAAGAAGTTTGCTTTTGTGGAAATGAGATCTGTTGAGGAGGCAAGCAATGCAATGGCCTTAGATGGCATTATCTTTGAGGTAAGTTCAATTACATTTTTAACATAATTCTACATTTTTTCTTGCGGTGGATCTGCCCCCTTTTTTCGAGGACATTCATATATCTACAACATTGACAAAACGTTAACTAGTTTGAATTTTTGTGCAGGGAGCGCCTGTGAAGGTGAGGAGGTCCAGTGATTACAACCCCTCCCTTGCAGCAACTCTTGGTCCTAGCCAACCTAATCCTAACCTAAATCTTGGTGCGGTTGGTTTAACCCCGGGTTCTGCTGGTGGGCTTGAAGGCCCTGACCGCATTTTTGTGGGTGGATTACCATATTACTTTACAGAAGTGCAAGTGAGGGAGCTGCTGGAATCTTTTGGTCCTCTTAGGGGTTTTGATCTAGTGAAAGACAGGGAGACTGGAAATTCCAAAGGCTATGCTTTTTGCATTTATCAAGATCTCTCAGTCACGGATATAGCTTGTGCAGCTCTCGATGGCATTAAAATGGGCGACAAGACTCTCACTGTTAGGCGTGCTAACCAGGGTGCAAACCAACCAAAACCTGAACAGGAGAGTGTTTTGTTGCATGCACAGCAGCAGATAGCTCTGCAGGTGAAAGGTTTTTACATTCATCGTTGAGGAGTCCTTTTGCATGGTCAAGTTTTTCTACAATTTCAATTTTTTGGCTAATTCTTGCAATTTCAGTTCCGTGAATTATAGCAGCATTGTTGACATATTCTCGAGTATATTCATAGTAGTTTTTTTCAGCGTCATCTCCGCTTTTATTTTATTTTGCATCTGTGAGTTGGAACTTTAACTGAGATGTGGTTCATTGAATGTGTGACATTGGTTTCTTCTTTTTAATTTGTCTTGTTACGATTATGTCCTCAAGTCTAAATTACCAAGGCTTTTAAACTTTTGCAGAAGCTTATGTATCAACTTGGTGCACTTGCTACTAAAGTGGTATGTCTAACACAAGTAGTTACTGAGGATGAGCTTAAAGATGATGGGGAGTATGAAGATATATTGGAGGATATGAGACAAGAAGGCGGAAAATTTGGTAAGAACTGTCTATATAGTTCTTGTTAATTTCTGCTCTTATTTTGAGGTTTTTGACTCGCCAAAAGTATATTAATATTTTTGTTCTTTCTTTGTGCTGTATCTCTATTTTACAGCCTTTTCTTGTTCCACATTCTGCTTAAAGAATCGGGCCTAACATTCAGAAAGAAGTTTCCAAAGCCTTATATCTTCACCTAGATTTCAAAATCTAAGCTCTTTTCTTCGTTCTAATGATACTTGTTTTGCAGGTAATTTGGTGAATGTGGCCATACCTCGTCCCAGACCAGATGGAGAACCTTCCGCAGGTGTTGGAAAGGTAATTCTACCACCTGCTATGGGCAATGCTCTTCTGCCTCCCTGGGTATCTGCGTTTGTCTTCATTTTTCTCCCTCTGGGTGTTGGAAATACATGGGTGCTCATGTGTCTTTCTGCTTTTGGTTTTTTTATGACGTTTGGAGGAGGGGGTAAGGGGTGTTGGCTGCTACCATGTTACAATACTCTCCCATCATAAGTTGCAAATTATCTGTTATATTATGATTCGTTGTCTCTGATTCTTTTCTATCCTCTGTGGCCAATGTGCCTACTGTGCAAGACTTAGGAAATGATGGATTTGGGGGTTGATAATGTAGTGCTTTGTTGCCATAAAAGACCTGACCGCAAATTAATAATTGTAGTGCTTTGTGGCCAATCCTTGGTAATGGACCATCCTCTACTGAAAATTGTAGATGAGGGTCGAGATCATGTCTCCTTTGGTGCCCTGAACCAATGTAATGAAATGTATGAAGTGATATTAAATTGCCAATCCAGCATTCTTATCACTGATGCAATTGCTGGATTCCAGAAAATGCTCTGCATGGATCCTAGAAGAAGCAAGATGCTCTGCAAGAACTTCACGATCTTATTACCTCGAAGAGATCCCGAGCATGGCAAAATACCCTTGAGAGGATTATGTTCAAGTACACTGAGCTATGTGTTGATATGCGGAGGGGGAGATTTGTCAAGGATGTTTAAGTACATTGAGCTAATGTTCAAGTACATGAAAAATGTAGATGAATGTATTCATTTTCATATTATTATAATAGTTTGATGACATTGAGCTATATGTTCAAGTACATGGAATATGTAGCTGAATATATTTCATTTTCATATTATTATAATATTTTGATGTTATTAAGTGCTTAATCAATGTTAAATACAAATTCTAGAAATTAATTTTGCTTTAAATTACATTTAAAATCGAATAAGAAAATGAAATACATTCATTTTGGTGGGTAATTTAAATTACCCACGAATTTTGCCACGAATAAGTTCGTTGCAAAAAACTGACAAAAAAAAAAATTGGTGACAAATTAGCCATGAATTTTGCCACGAAATGTGTTCGTCGCAAATTAGCGATAAATTTTGCCACGAATAATTAAGAACGATTTTTGCCACGAAAATATTTCGTCGCAATTTCGCGACCAACAAAAAAAAGTTTTAAAAAAAATAGCGACGAATTTTGCCACGAATACAGTTCGTGGCAAATTAGCGACGAATTTTGCCACGAATATTTAGCGACGAATTTTGCCACGAATAAAGTTCGTGGCAAATTAGCGACGAATTTTGCCACGAATACAATTCGTGGCAAATTAGTCACGAATTTTGCCATGAATAATTAGCGACAAATTTTGCGACAAATTTTGTTTCATGGCAAATTAGCCACGAATAATTAGCGACGAATTTTGCGACGAATTTTTTTTCGTCGCAAAATTTTGCGACGGCCTATTAGCGACGAATTTTTTTCTGTCGCTAATTTCGTCGCAAATTAGTTTAGCAACGAATTTTGCCAAATTTTTCGTGGCAAAATTCGTCGCTAAAACCAACTTTTTTTGTAGTGATGGAACTAAAAGGTGGGCTCAGATTGCCCAGATGCTTGACGGGAGAGTGGGAAAACAATGTAGGGAGAGATGGCATAACCATCTAAGGCCTGATATCAAGGTTTTTTTCCCCATTTTTCCTTTAAAAATATGTTTTTCCTTGCCCATAATTTGTTCTTGCTTTAGACTCTACCACCATTATACCTTCCATTATATTAATTTACATTGACCATCCTACTCATTTAGTATTGTATTCATAAAAAGAATCACAGTTAGATTTGATAAGTGAATCGCATACATGGGAAGTATATCTAGAGACAGATATACGATATGCATATAGATTAAAGGATACGAGCATTCAACACTCATTGTGATTTTCCATCGTGATTTATCATGAATTCATGCCATAATCGCACCATTCATACACAACATTATTGAGTATATGTATTTCTTTTATTACCTTTCCACGGAAATATGACTTTATTTCCTTATCTTTACCGACGCGTGTCGTCTAGTGTGTGGAACTCGTGACTCTATCCCTTCTTTTTGTCGTTATTAAGTTTTTGGCTGACTTAATTCTTAAAGTTTGCTAATACGCTACTTATCCTGCGTCGTTTAGTCCATATGCAACAACTCACAAGCATGCATGGCGACAAGTACCCATGCGGACCGGATTTTTGGGAAACCATGCCTTATAAGCAGGGCTGTAAAAATCTCAAAAGATGCTTTGATTCTTATTAATCATAAATGCCTTTTTTCTAACTTCTAGTGGTGACCAAATTGCATGAACCCTTCATGCACTTCCATGCCCTAGCTCAGCAGCTAATTAAGAACAAAACAAAAGGTTAAATCCATTTTATGAACTCCAAATTCTTCCATTTAACACACGACATATACCTATTAAATCACCCCAAAAAATTAGGAATATATCACAATTAAGCCTTACATGAATAAGATCCATAATTATATTAAAAGGGTGTAAATGCATTCATTATGAATTTTCCTCATTTTTTTCCCTCAAAGAAACTTCACCTTTATATATAAAAAAAACATTTTACACTTGCATGTAAATACACATACTTTGTAATCTATTTGATCAATTAAAATTGAAAAATCAAATTACTATCGATTGTATTAATGAAGTGTAATCATGATCCACTATAAAATTAAGGACTTCGCCAAAGACCCAAACTCACAAAACCCTAGAATAAGTTTTTCTATCTCTTCTCCTCCTTTTTTTATTCTATTTCTTCTTCGTTGGGCTCTCATCAGTTTCTTAGCAGAAGGACTCGTGGAGCATCGAAGAAGACAAGATCCTGATTCAAGCACACAAGCAGATTGGGAACAAATGGGCCGAGATAGCCAAGAGATTGCCTGGAAGGACTGAAAACACAATTGAGAACCACTGGAATGCTACCAAGCGCAGGCAACTCTCTAAGCGCGAGTTACTTCCCTACAACAACAACTCCAACCTATTGCAAAATTATATCAGGAGTGTCACCACTCCATCTCCTCCGAAACGGTCCGCACCGGCTCGTGGTCGCGACCACCGCCCCCACCAGACCAAGAAGCTGTCGTTGTCTTTGTTGGCGGCAGCCATTTCTCGTGGCTCGGACATGCAGCCTGAAGCGACCAACCGCCCCCAGCAGGCGCCGGATCACCACCACCACCACCAGCTGCCGCTGCCACCTGCTTAGAGGCCAGACAGCAGTTACTTTGGTTTTCCAATGGTTAATGGGAAAGAAAATCTTGGGCTTTATCAGGTGAATGAACATCATTATCATTAGGTGCTGAGTGAAGGCGGTGGTAATGGGAGTGAAGAGAGATTTGATAATGAACGTGAGTGTGACCTGGAGATGAGCTTGGAGATGGATGGTGATCGCCACCACCACCGTCGCCAGCAGCACCATAATGACCATCAACGTCAGGAGATTAAGGAGCTGGACTTTCTCGAGATGATGGCTCGCCGAAGTGGCTAATTCTGAATTCATAAATACCCTGGTAGGTAATAAAAGGCCCTTGCATTGTAGTTTCTTCTCAAAATGTTATCTTTGTGTTTTCCCAGTTTGCTTATCTGAGACCTAATGTTGTTGTTCTAGTAACCGTACGTGAGATAGAGACTTTTGTTTTATTCCCATATAACCATTTGAAGGGGTGTGTATGACTATGTAAGGGTTTATGTGATTGACCTGGGAGAGGTCTAATATTATTACATATGCATGTGTTTAGCTTAGTTATTCTATGTTTACCTCGACATCTTCGGTGACGAATCAAAACTTCTATCACTATCTCTCGACAATTAACTAATTCGCTAGGTGAAAACAAGAAAAGGAAAAGGTAAGGGAATTGAAGATTTATTTGAGCAAAACATATGCATGTAATTTCTGCAAGGGGACCGATTAAGAACTATTCACAATGTCACCAAAAACCTTTCACAAAGTAAGTGCGAGAGTTCTTATTATTACTTCTCTTTTCGTTTAAAGATCAAACCCTATCTACTTTGGTCAAGGTGAAATGCTAGTGAGTGATTATAGTGAGTGATTATAGGATTTTGGAAGTTGGCAATTCTCTACAAAGGAACTATTGTTCGACCCTTTTAACCTCGTGGATGCACACGGGAGTAAAAGACATTGTAACTTTAGCAAAGATGATATGATATTACTGCAGTTTGAACTTTTAAATCTTTCGCTATAGATGGTCAACTAGCTTATACATGTTTGAAGCTCAAAATGCATCCAACTGGGAAAATTTGTCAAGGATAAGACAATTTGCATGGAAACATGGGGACATTCCCACTTTTAGGGCTTTTTGATCGTCCCATCAGAGCTGAACCTTAATCAATGTACTATTGGATCATGATGCCCATTTAACCCATTGTTCGGAAGGGCTTTGCTAGGCAATGTATTTGTATGATTAGACCTAACCAATCTAATCAAGCTCACTATAGATCACGACTCTCGAATTGTTAAGATGATCGCTTGCCGAAGTGGCTAATTCGAATTCATAATTACCCTAGTTGGTAATAAAAGGCCCTTACATGATAGCTATGTATCCACATCATATCCAAACCGAAGCGTTTAATCTGTTATAAAATATTAAGTGCTTTGGTATTAACTATGCCATCATGGCATCAGGCTTTGCTCCTTATTTTTTCAACATGAACTGCAAAAGGACAGAAACTCCATTGAGAAGTTTATCCTTATTTTAGCTCTCTCTCGAGCACCAAATACGGCACAGCGCTTTGCATGAGTTTCGTTGTTGTAGTGTAGAAAATTTTTAGCCGTCAAAACTTTGGAAGAAGCATGTCAAAACTTCTTTGCAATATCACGGTCACATCGTACAACCAAGAAAACTTCTTTTTTGTTTGTTTGTGACATTGATATTGTCCTTGAGTCAAAGTGAGCCGTTCTTATTAACCATTCTTAGCTGAATTTATCTCCAAAAAGAGTTGAGCATTAATGCCACATTGGCTTCTGAAGGGGTACTTAATTTCGGAAAGAAATCCAGCATTCACTCCTCTTCTTTGGTTCTTTTTATTGCAATATTTATGTTCTTCCTCAATGCTAATTAGTCTTAAACACTTTCCCATTCTTTTGAACCTATCCAATAACCTTCCACTTTCTCATTTTAGGCTCCATTTGTTTCATTGAAAATTAATGATTTGGAAAATATTTTTCTAGAAATAAATATTTTTATCTCTTATAAAAATGAATGAATAAATTTTTTTATCATCTACGAAAATGTTTCGACATAAATTGTTGTCAATAATAATGTTTTAGGAAATTATTTTTCAAATAATTTATTTTTTTCGAAACAAATTGAGCTTTAAACAAAACTCTAATCCTCTCCTCTATTTACTATGATAAAAAAAAATCTTGCAAAATAGGCGTTCCTTTTTTAAATCAATGATCTGACAGTGCAATTAAGATAGTTTGTGTTTGTCCTGGTCCGTCGGTCTGTCTTTAAAATGAACTTGATTAATATGCATTTGAAAGCTACCAGAAAACATGTAAAATGTACGAATTCTAAAAATTCTCTCCATCTCACTCTCATCTCATTAGCCCTTTCTTAAGCATTATTCATTGATTCTATAAAGAATTCCGATTATATTTCAAAATGATTTCGATTAATTTTTTTTGGACTGACTACTTAATTTTTGCATAAAAGAGCTAACCATTAATGCCATACTAGCTTCTGAAGAGGTACTTTTAATTTAGGGAAAGAAATCCAGCATTCACTCCTCCTCCGCCTCGTGATGATTTTTCTTTCCTTTCGGGCATGGAGCTCAACCTTTCCTCCTCCACTTTCCAAGATGATTTCCCTTTCCTTCCGGGCTTTTTTTAATAAATTTTCCCTCGAAACCCTGGGGCGGCATCTCTCTTGACCTCGAGACTCCTCCTCCGCCTCGTGAATGGCTTCTTCTACAAGCTCCTCCAGAGCTGTAACCCAGACATTCTCGATTATGACCACGGCTTCACAATCGAAGGCTCCTCGTAGAACCCTTTCTCTCGGGTGGTCTCGACCCCACGGCTCGACCCGCCATTTCATTATCCATCCCCTCATCCTCAACTGGCCGCAACGTTCCCCAGAGGGTTCGACCTCTGCGTGATGCCGTCACCTCTGACCTCTCCTCCTCCTCCTGTGTCCATGGAAACCTCGCTGGAGAGCAGGGACAACAGTGACGGCGTAGCGGCGCATGGCCAGGCCGAGCTCAAGAGCCTCTTCGACAACGGTCCGGTTGATCACCATCGCCATCACGATCCGGTGACGGTGGCCTGCCAGATCATGCCTTTGCTCCCCTTGAATGACCTTGGATTGCTGAATGAGAGGCTCGGTGAGGAGTTCTCTTTTGGTGAGCTGGGACCGCCAAAGGGGTCATGAGCGGGACGGTGGTGGTGATGATCGGAGCAAGGGAGAGGTGGTGATAGGTCCGCCGCTGCAGCAGCAGAAGCAGACAACGGGGAAGAAGAAGAGAGAGAGCGAGGATGGCAAGGTTGACAAGGAACCTTGGTAGTCAAAGGCCAGTGGACTCTTAGCGAACACAGGTTAAGACTTGGAAAACATTCCCCTTTTTTCCTTGGTTCTTCTTCTTCATCTATTTATTTTTCTTCTGATTTTGAATGTTTTCTTTTGATATCTGCGAGCTTAATTTCCTCGTTAGGATTTCTGGTCATTGTTTTAGGGAATAGTACGGAAAACAATGCAAGATCAAGGTTCCTTTCCCTTTTCCCTTTTTTCCTTTAAAAAATTTGTTTTTCCTTGCCCATAATTTGCTCCTGCTTTAGAATCTACCACCATTATACCTTCCATCATGTGAATTTACATTGACCATCATACGCATTTAGTCAAGTATTCATAAAGACAATCGCAGTTATATTTGATAAATGAATTACATACATATCAAGTATAGCTTAAGACAGATATATGATTAGCATATGGATCACTGGATACGAGCATTCAACACTCATTGTGCTTTGCCATAGTGATTTATCATAAATTCATACCACAATCACACCATTTTATACATAACATAATTGAGGATATGTGTTTCTTCGGGGGAAAGTACCAAAAAAGTCTTAAACCTTCTGAGTCTGTACCAACTTAGTCTGAAATCTTTCAATTGGACCAATTTAGTCCTAAAAATTTTGCATTTGTACCAATTGAGGAGATTCGGCCAACTTTGATAGAAAATCACTGACGTGGACGTCGGCTGTCCTATGTGGCATAGCCGACAATGACGGGGATAAATTTTAATATATTTTTTATTTTCTTTCTTTTTTTCCTTTCATTTTGGTTGGCGAGGGTCGCCTCTCCTGCGACTGGCGGGGCCGCGAAGGCCCTGGGGGAGGGCCATTGCGGCCTTGCCAGTCACGAAGGCCCTCACCAGTGGCCGGCAAGGGCTTTCTAACCCTCGCCTGCCAAAATGAAGGAAAAAAGAAATAAAAGAAATAAAAATGATAAAAAAAGAAAAATATATAATATAATATTAAAATAATATTACAATATATCCACATCAGCATCGACCACGACGTCTACGCATCAATTTCCTACCAAAATTGACTGGATGGACTCAATTCGAACAAATGCAAAAGGTTTATGACTAAATCAGTTCAATAAAAAAAATTTAAGATTGAATTGGTACCAATGCAATAACTTTAGGACTTTTTTAGTACTTTCCCCAAAGAAACACACATCCTTAATTATGGTGGGTATGGATGGTGTGATTATGGCAAGAATTTATGATAAATCACTATGGCAAATCACAATAGTGTGGAATGCTCAAGTCCAATAATCTATATGCATGTCATGTATCTATCTTTAGATATACTTCTTATGTATGTGATTCATTTATCAAATATTACTATGATTCTTTTTATGAATACTTGACTGAATGAGTATGATGGTCAATGTAAATTCAAATAATTGCAGGTATAATGGTGGTAGCGTCTAATGCAGGAGCAAATTATGGGAAATAAAAACATATTTTTAAAGGGTAAAAGGGGGGGAAATATCTTGATATCATGCTTCAAATGGATATATCATCTCTCTCTGCGTGGTTTTCCAACTCTTCCGTCTAGCATTTGAGCAAATGAAGTACTTCACTAGAAATTTTACTAGATGCGCGATGTTCTTTTTAGGTGGTTTTGGAACTGCTATGGCTTTTGAGCTCTGAGGGTCTCCATTCTATGATTAGGTT